AGTCAGTCAGTCAGTCAGTCAGACTGACTGACTGACAAGACTTAGGGGTCTGTATGGATGAAACGCATAAGACCCCAAAAATCTGTCAATACATACCTGGCCGACGTTTATCGGCTGTTATTCGCCTGTAGAAAACGTCAATTAGGAAATTAAGAGGCGAGCGTATGATAAGTTTCCATGTTTTGCTGTACACTACAGCAAAGGTGACCAACAAGATACATACAGCAAGGACGCCAAACATGTCGGAAATAAACGACATGGAAGCAGCCGTGATTGTTAGCTCTAATCCATTTTCCAAACCGGCTATTACTACTCGAGCACCTATCAGTTTCGTCATAAAAGTCCTAAAAGGCTGATAAAAATATTTGAACGATTGATCTCAAATAATTACAGCTTCATATCATCTAATCTTCGTAAGCCGGAAATTTAATTTAAGTAATGCCTCAAAGGCAACGGCAACGAAAACGACATTTCAAATACTATGAACGGCGTCAAACTGAGTAAAGAATCAACGCTCAGGTTCCCGTCATGTTGATTTGTGGCGTTCTTTTCCCAGTTGCCGTCTCCAGTATCACTTATGGGAATATCAGGTCAGCGAGTTAGAAACGTAACTAGCAGTGACTTCTTTCTAATCTTGATAAGAAGGGCGGTAACTTAAATGAACATATAAAAATTGTCTTGGTAATTTAAAGGCCAAGGACTAAAACAAGTTTACTTCGGTACCAAGTTACCAGCTGCACTATATCCAAAACTGACGACATACTAAACAGTTTTGGACAAACTGCTTTCACTTTCGCGGCCTCCCTGGCAAAAGATCAGTCAAGAAACGGAAAAAAAGAAAGATTGCAGCAAACACAAGAAACAAAAAAATTCTCCTCTCCCCGCCATGTCGGCCTAACTTTTCGAGCTCTTTGAGGGTTATTTCTGCTGCGACCATCAAGGCGGCAAATGAAATTATGACCATTACATGGGCCCTCCACTTGTGATAGTTACCCTCAGCCATAAGATCGTTTCCAACAGACCAGTGCGCAACATTCAGTCTGCTGATCAGAATCTGCTTGCAAAGCTTGGAGATTTCCTGGAAATCTACTGTCGGCCTCCATTGGCTATCTCCTCCCAGTCTTGAAAGGTCTTTAAGAAAATCAGCGGAGAACTGATCAACGACATTGCAGAACTCTGGAGCTGTCAGCATTTTTTCACCGCGAAAAAGGTAACCGTCTTGATCATGTTTAAGTGGAATACCTCGATCACGGAAAAGCTGAAATTTTGGTTGAAGCGCACCGGCGAACAGCTCGTTCTGTTTGTTATGATACATCTCCTTCCTTGATTGTCCCCTTCGCCTCCGTTGACCTTGTTGTCTATAACTGGGTGCCCCGAACGAAGACATGTCATTTAAGTCATGTTCTTCGAATGAATGCACGCTCAAAAGTCCGTCTGTCGTTCTTCGCGTACCGTAAACTTCAGTCCTCACCTTTCTTATTGCTTCTTTTATGAACGGCTCATGCCTATTCACCCCAGTGGATTCTAACAATCCGTCGACCTTTTTCGTAAGGGAGGCCTCAAACTCCCTTGGAGCAAGTCCGCGCTTGTGAAGCTCGAAGTTGTATTTCAGCTGTCTGGCTTGCATGTTTGTGATCAAGGTAGATCTTAGCTTACGCCTCTTGTTGAAATCCTCTGAAATTAAAATTTGTAAAGAATTAGAAATTAAAGAGGAAATATCTCCATCCAAGCGCTATCCTTGGGTTGACGGGAATGATGGGGGAACAAGATACTCTGCTTGATTTACTGTGTTTGCTTCTTACACAAGTTATTCCAAAAGATCAGAAAGGTCACTTCATTTTATACGTTATTTCTCTGACATCATTGTTCAGGTGTAAGATTGGCGGGGCGTGAGCTCCGTCAAGTGATTTTGAGATGTTCAGGAATGTTTCTTGCCCGTAAGAAATAACTCGCCCGGCTTGTGGGAGATTTTCAACTCGGAAACATCTTGCACTGCCCTTTTTAAATGGACACGTTAAAGTCTGTCTATGTGCTGTAAGGTCAGACAAATTCTCTCTCTTGTGGAGAGGAAAGACGCCAGTATTTGAGGTTCACGCAAGTTTTGCTGAATCGAACCTCGTTCGTTACATTTTATTCTGTTGAACTTTCCATCTAAATGTGCTACAACTTGGAAAGAGGTTACTGTGGATTTTACACCACCGTTTTTAAGTGATGACGTAGTCGGAGCTTACATGCTGGCACGCAGCGCATTCTTTTGGATA